TCCTCTCCTGCCGCTCATTGACGCCCCCCACACACACACACAAACACACACACAACAGTCTCCTCCTCCTGCAAGTCCGATCAGCCAATCACAGGCTCAGCAAGTTCCCACAGGCACACCCTTTGACAGCAGGACCCTGAGGCCAGCAGAAAGCTCATACTTCCTTCATCCACACCTTGGAAGCCTAGAGAGAGAAGTGAAGCCAGACTATCCACACTCAAACTCCACCCTCTCCCCAGTGATGTACTTCTTCCAGCAAATCTGCCCCTCCGAAATGTCCCAACACCTTTCCAAACAGCACCAATACCTGGGAACCAAGTGTTCAAACACGTGAGCCTGTGGGCCACTTCTCACTCAAACTACCACAGCTCATAAGACGCTCTTTGTGTTCTGGGCTGTGCAAAGATACAGAAGGAACATTCCCCAACCAGCGGCATCTTGTGCTGCCACACAGCTCGGAACGCTCTAGAACCGTCATTCAGACAGTCCCTCAAGTTCATGCGTGCATTGCGAGAGAGAACTGGTGAATGACACCTATTTCCTTTCGTCACTACCCAAACACGTCTGCCCAGGGACCCAGGGGAACTGCTCACAGCTCACAGCTGGAATGGACCTTTCTGTCTGGCCGTGATTCCTTGATTCCTATGATGTCACAGAGGCCGTCTGGAAGCCCCGCCGTTGCTAGCCCCACCATCTAGCCCACCCCATGTGGTGTTCTCCTGGCTGATTTTGCCCTTCCTGGGCACCCAGGGTCTTCCACTCCCCCAGTATCTCCCCTTGGAGTTTTTCTTCCAGCTCTGTGCTGTTCTGCCCACTCCCCATCTCTCCATGGTGCAGCAGCTATTGCGTCAAATGAAGCAGTGCCACCAAGACTACCTTCTTGTCTCCCTTGGCTTGTTTGTCAAGTCACTGGAGCCGTGCAAGCATCTAGACGTTCCCCGCCACCAACCGCAGCACTCAGTGACCCACACACTGACTCTTGCAAACACGCACCTTTCATCTCCGCCTTTCTTCCTGTCTCTTTCCAAGTCTCTACTGCTTCCCTGACTTACCGGTAACTCCTGTCTTCTCAGAGACATTGTGTATTCCTGCCTATGAAACTGGAGGGGACTTCACAACAGAGTCAAAGGATAATGGGCAATCACATCCCTGGTTCTTCTTGTTCCTAGACAGATGCAGGGTCACAGTGTTCAGGACCTGGGTTCCTTCACCACTTGACTTCTGTGTCCCCGCCCCCATAGAAGAGGCAAAGATATAAGAAGGGGCCCTGCCTACTGCTTAAAACCTTGGTCCTGAAGTCACGTCCCACTCTAAATGGGGCATGACTCCGTTACTGAGGTCACCTGGACACAGGTAGCAGGCCTCTGTGGCACAGGAACAGTAGAAATGAAGCCAAGGTGTGGATTACCAACAAGGCAAAGTGTCTTTATTGGGACCTCAGCTGGAACTGTCTGACTCAGTCCAGAGGGAGGCAACACCGAACAGAGGTGACCAGACTGTCAACACAGGGCCCCAAGCCTTCATTGATTGAGGGTGAGGCACACAATCTTTGGTCCTTACTAATGAATTATGGACATGATCTTAAATTTTTTTTCCTCTGACATACGAACATCTTAGCCTTGTCCTTGATTGGCTCTGAGTTATAGCCTCAATCCTGACATTTCTCAGATGACCAGGAGATCAAAGTCTGATCGGAGGACACAGAATGAGAATAGAGAATAGAGAATAGAGAATTCAAGAATAGAGAATTCAAGCCTCGTGTCCTCCTTTAGCTTTGTCTAGTGGGGCTTGGGAAGTTCCTGAGTGGATACCAAGGCAACTCTTCCTGTCACCCAGTCACCGAGGTGCGACCCCTCCCAGGGAGTGGGGTTTAAGTTAGCCACGAGCAAGTGAATCTACTAGATGGATTTGGCTCTTCATTCAGTAGCTGTTGCTCCTTATCTTTGTCGGTCATGTTTTTAGCTCTCTCGAATCCCACATGTTTGAGATCTGTCTAGTTGTAAGAGGTTCCTGCTCTGTAAACACTCCAGTCTGTGCTCTGGTGTTTATGAGAGCACAGGAAGGGATCAGAGGAAAAGGCACTCTGAGCTTCCAATAGGGGTAATGGGTAACACAGTCAACTTGACAGGATCTAGAACCAGTTAGAAGACAGTCTCTGGGGTTTCTGGATTTGGTTAATTGGTATAACCCGATGACAGTGCAATCAGCTGCCGCGAACTCCTGCAGCCGTGATGGACTGTCCACTCAAACTGCGAGCCAAGGAAACCCTTCCTCCCTTGAGCCGTTTTTTGCAGGGTGTTTTGCCACAGCGGTGAGAAAAGTGATTAAAACAGGTGATTACAAAGGCAACAAGCTGGGGATCAGAGTTTGTCTGCCGTTGGTTGTCTCTACCCTTCTGAGCCCTGAATGCCAAGAGGACGGATATGTAGACCTCACCCCAAGGAGTCAGCCGACAATCTCAGAGCGTCATCAACTCCTCAGCCTTTCAGAGAGGTCCCTCAGTTCACGATGAGCACCTGGAGCTGGAGCAAAGCCACCAAGTCAAAAACTAGGGGAAAGCGGCTTCCCCTGGGGCTCTGCTTCCCTTCTCAGGGTAGCAAAGCATAAACTACCCAGGAGGCTCTTGAGAGGTGGCGAATGTACAAACCCTCTCCTTCCACTTCAGGACTCAGAGAAACCAAGGCTCCGAGTGGGCATGCATCACACAGCCCACCAGTGGTCCAGAACTCAGCAGGCTTGCAGGCAAAGCCTTCCCAGACTGCCATGGTTTGATCTCAGTAGTCATCCAGATGGATCCTATTTAGAGGCCACTGATGAAAGAGGAGAAAAAGAGCTCAGAGGAAACCACCCAGACGCTCCTATGTAAAGGCTTTGTCAGAGGATGGGGGTAGGGCCCCCACCGACATATCTCACCTCCCTACATCTCCACTCCAGCCCCTGCATCAATTCTGATGGGGGCAGTAAATTTTCTTGCTTACCATTCGAAGGCTCATCGAAGCCAATGATTAAAGGACAAGGCTATCCAATCGCACAGTAGGCTCTATAGATCAGGTGCTTCCTTGGGTAGAAACTGAGAAATAGATCCATGCAATTGATTTTAAAGGTAACTAACCAATCACAAGCAAGGCTGATTCATAAGTTAATAGGGTACCAAATCCCAGCCCTGGCTTTTCTCTTATTTAAATGAGTGATGGTCTGTCCCTAGACTTCACTTCCCCTTGAACCAAGAGGAAAACCCAGCTGTCCCCTGCTCCCACCCCCCACCCACCAAGCAACTGCCTAGCTCAACTGAAGGACCAGTGTGAAAGCCTGGGGGAAGAGGGAGCTCATAAAACTTTCAGCAGCTCTGAAATCACTGGCTAAATAAGTCGCTGCAGATCCGGTTCCTATGCATTTAATAGCAGAGCCCCTGCTAAAATTCCCTGTGCGCTCAGCAGCTCAGGGAGCTTTCCTAATGCGTTGCTAACTGGTACATTCTTCACAAAGGCCATCAGAAAGAAATAACTCCACATGCCATGGTACAGATGCTCAAGGCTGGAGCAGAAAGTGAACCAAATGTGTGACCACGTGGAGATAGAACATCTCTCCATGCTTCCTTTTTAACCTTGGCGCCCAACCAACTGTTAAAGGATAAGGCATGCATCCTTCCCAGGAAAATGCTTAAGCCCTAAAATTTGAGCAGTATTTTAAAGGACTTGTTCAAAATATTTGCCCTAAATACAAAAAGTAATAAAGAGGCTGTTTATTACAACAAGATGTTTGATGGCATGTCATGTAGGTCCGTGTCACCAGTGAGGTTTCATTTCCCCTTGTGACAACCCCATGAGTTGGTCCAATGGAAAAACTGAAGGTGTGAATTTGGATCATATATCTGCCAGTTCAAGCTGCTGTAGCAGACAGTAGATATTCACTGTCTTTCTGTTCTGTTTTGGAGGCTGGAAGCCGAGGCTCAAGCTGTCTACAGGGCTGGTTTCTGGAGATATCTCTGTCTCTCTGTCTCTCTGTCTCTCTCTGAGATGGTGTCTTTCACTCTCTGTGGCCTTCCATTTGCTCATGTGTATTCCTGTGTCTCATCTTCTAAAGATAGGAGTTGTATTTGCTTAGACCCTGCTCACCCTGCAACCACCTCCTCCAAGTCTTGTATTTGTAACTTTTCTCATCGCTGTGGCAGAGAGCACTGGAGAAAGGCAACTTCGGGAAGGAAGGCTGTTTGGGCTCCAAGTTTGAAGGCATGGTGGCAGGAGTGTGCGGTGGTTGGTGACGTTGAACTTGCATCCCCTTCAGGAAGCAGAGGGAGACAAATGCTGACACTCGTTTGCTCTCTCCTTTCTCCTTCTGATTCAGTATGGGTCTTGGTCCGTGAGAATGGTACCCACATTCAGGGCAGATCTCTGCTCCTCAGTTGAATCTTTCTGGAAACATCCTTAGAGATATAACCAGAGTTTCGTTTCCATGGTAATTCTAAATCTAATCAAATTGACCAGATTAATCTGACGCTATCAGAAGCGTCAGTCCCTAAAGACAGTCATACTGGAGGTTCAGGCTTCACCTGTGCCTGGAGACATCACCGTTCAGTCCACAGCAGCAGTGAACATTCATATTGGTGTGTGATGGAGCCAGGGCTGTCTGAATCCCGAGACACCGCCTCTCCCATGCTTCACCATCTCAGGTAGAGTCAGGAGACATGCCACCATGGGGGCAGGTGCAGCAGAAGCTGCTAGCAGAGGCCCAATGTCACGGCACTGAGCTTTACCCTGGTGTGCTGGGTGGCAAAGTCCCAGCCCGTGCTCGATCTTGGCACACAGAAGTGCAAATCAACCAGTGACCTGTCCAGATGGGGCTGAGTGAAAACAACTTTGTTAACCTGGTTCCTAAGTGCAAAAGTGGTGTTTGGGTTTCCTGCCATAGGTAGTGTGTGAGTCTATCAGCTAAAATAAAATAAAATAAAATAAAACAGGCTTTCATTTGAACTCTCTCTTTTTTTTTCTTCAAACTGCCAGCGAATGTCCTGGAAGGCGATTCCATGGACCAAGATGTGGAGAGCCCGGTGGCCATTCATCAGCCAAAGTTGCCTAAGCAGGCCAGGGATGACCTGCCAAGACATATCAGTCGAGACAGGACAAAAAGGAAAATCCAGAGGTACGTGAGGAAGGATGGGAAGTGTAACGTCCACCATGGCAATGTGAGGGAGACCTACCGATACCTGACGGACATCTTCACCACCCTCGTGGACCTCAAGTGGAGATTCAACCTGTTGATTTTCGTCATGGTCTACACTGTGACATGGCTCTTCTTTGGGATGATCTGGTGGCTAATTGCATACATCCGGGGAGACATGGACCACATAGAGGACCCCTCATGGACTCCCTGTGTCACCAACCTCAACGGGTTTGTCTCTGCTTTTTTGTTCTCAATAGAGACAGAAACCACCATCGGTTATGGCTACCGGGTCATCACAGACAAGTGCCCCGAGGGAATTATCCTCCTCTTAATTCAGTCCGTGTTGGGGTCCATTGTCAACGCATTCATGGTAGGATGTATGTTTGTGAAAATATCCCAACCTAAGAAGCGGGCAGAGACCCTGGTCTTTTCCACCCACGCAGTGATCTCCATGAGGGATGGGAAACTCTGCCTGATGTTTCGAGTAGGGGACCTGAGGAATTCTCACATCGTGGAGGCTTCCATCCGAGCCAAGCTGATCAAGTCCAAACAGACTTCAGAGGGGGAGTTCATCCCCCTCAATCAGACGGACATCAACGTGGGGTACTACACTGGGGATGACCGTCTCTTTCTAGTGTCGCCTTTGATTATTAGCCACGAGATTAACCAACAGAGTCCCTTCTGGGAGATCTCCAAAGCCCAGCTCCCTAAAGAGGAGCTGGAGATTGTGGTCATCCTGGAGGGAATGGTGGAAGCCACAGGTAAGCCATGCTCCGTCCTGTTAGAAATGCATTCTGCTGAAGCTCTCTGGTGAGAAATGCTCTGCCTGTGCATCCTGTAACCGTAAGTATGCGCTCGGACACGTTTAGCCATTTCAATTTTCAGCTTTCTTAATTTTACAATTTGTTCCTTTTATTTTGTGTGTATGAATGTTTTGCCTGCATGTGTGTATGTGTGTCATGTACATGCCTGGTGCCCATGGAGGCCAGAAGAGGGCACTAAATTCCCTAGAACTGAAGTTAGAAATAGTTGTGAGGCACCGTGTGGTTGCTGGGAAACTGAGGCAAAGTCCTCTGCAAGAGCAGCCAGTGCTCTAAGCTGCTAGGCCACCTCTCTACCACACTTACCTTTATAAAAGCCACTTAGAAAGCAAATTAATGATTTCTTAAATTTCCAAATACTTAAAGAAATTAGATTTTGATCTGTGTCCAAAGCTCATTTTGAATGATTTTAAAGTGTTTCTCATTTAAATATTTGTAGCTGTTTGTTAGCAAGCCAAATGGTAAGAGTTAGACCTCTCAAAAAAAGTGAGGAAAAAAATGACTTAATATAACTGTTAATTTTGCCCTTTCTTTGGCTCTTGTTGATAAAACCCATGGAATTGTTCATTTCTCCCTTTGTGTTAGGTATCTCTCCACACTTGACCCGTCCAGCCCTCCGCAGACATAGCCCTAAGAACTAAAGACTTGTTCCTGGTAATCCTGCAGACCTTTTGTGGTCAGCGCTGGTCAAGAGTCTGTGGGAAGAGAGGTGGCCTGTTCTCAGGGTTTAGAAAACTAGGCCTCCACTCATCTTTGCTCACACCTAAGTAACAAGCATGCTCCACATTCTGAGAGCCAAGTGGGTTCTGCCCATGTTTACTGATCATGTGCACAAGTCAAAAGCCCAGAACGTGTATAAACCCAATCCTGTTCACCAACTCTGCAGAGTTCCGAGTCCTTACTACACAGCCCAGGTCCCCCCCAACACACACACACACACACACACACACACACACGCACGCACGCACGCACGCACGCACGCACGCACGCACGCACGCAAACTATCCCGTGTTTGGAAGCCTCCATCCTGAAACAAATGTATAGTCTGTGAGCTGGCCCAAGTCTTCATTAACCTGGGATTCTTTTCCAAAGGAAAATCTCTGGTCCCTTGCTTCTGTCTCCCCGTCTCCCTGTACCAACGGGAGGCAAAGTTATGATTCCTACCAAGAAGTTCTTATCAGGGAGACAGAAATTTTCCAATAAGTTTTTAAATTTCAGCAAACTGAAAATATGGAGTCTCTGTGGTCCAGCGTGCCCCCTTCCCACAGAACAAGAGGATTTAAAGAATAACAAAACACACTTGGCTCTCTACATCTAAGGAGCCCATATTCATGAGATCCCGCCACCATGGTGGGACTCTAGATTTAGTATCAAATATTTTCCTGTTTCTTGCCATCATTTGCTAAATAATACAGTACAGATGTTTACACAATATTTATGTTGTATTAGATATTATGGGCAATCCAAGATGATTTAAAGCATGTGGATGGGTGTAATGTCTACGAAGACACACTATTCTGTAAGAGGGAGTTGAGCATTTGAAGACCTGGTATCTTTGGGGAGTCCTGGGATCAATGCCCTCTGGATGTGAGAGACAGCTTTGTGTTCATCCCACATCCCTGGAGCCAGGCACAGGCCTCTAAGTCTGGCATGCAAAAAGGAGTGAGAAACTGACTCTCTCAAGGGAGCATCTCCAGCCAGCACCACGATGGGAATGACTGTTGCTTACTTCTGAGTCACAAGTTCTTGGGTCCTAAAAGACTTCAGTCTGTATTTTGAACTGGAGCATTGGCTGGATGTTGTGAAATTCTAAATAGAAGCTGCAGATAGCAACAGGGCTATCAGCACCTTGGGCTTGAGGATTTTATGTTCTCCTGAGGTAGTTCTTGATCGGAGCAGAGGGGAAAGAGAGAGGAGAAAGGGGGGAGAGAGAGCGAGGGAGGAAAAGAAAAGAAAGAAGAGGAAGAGAGAGGAGGAAGGGGAGGAGGGAACAGATGAGAGAGAAGAGCAGGAAGAGGAGAGTGGACAGAACAAGGGCAGTGAGGACAGAAATGAGAGGGATGGTGCCCCTTGAATAGGGAACTCTGTTGCTTTCAAAGGGACCCGAACCTCTGCACCCTGGCAGAGCACAGGACTCAGAACCCCCAGTGGTGTCTGCAGTCACAGACGCGCACAGCATCTGCTGACCATGCCAGAGGTCCCTTGCCCCTGGGCAGACTTGAGGATGGTCCATCGGGGAAGTTTTCCTATTCCTGTGTACACAGGAATCCAAGCCTCTGGCTCCCGGTGCTAGCCCCGTCTCCAACACCATCCACCAAGCTCCACATACACTCCCTCCAACTCAAACCCGGTCTCAAAATATTAATGAATCCAAGCAAGAAAATCATTTTTGCACTGTCCCCAGGGCAGACCTTGTCTTTCTGATGACAGCTTGTATGGAACAAGACTATCTGCAGGGAGAAGCCTCCTTTTTATGATAATTAGTCGTGATGGCTGCCTGGGAGCATCCTTGCCTTTCTGAGAGTTCTTAGCCACACCTGGGTAGTTTCCAGCTGAAAGAGCCCAGCTCTACCGTTCCTGAGAAACACAACCTCTATTCTTTTTTTAAGTAGACATTTTTAATATACCATATACAATTAAAATATATTACATGTATGATATATTGTGAATATATTATATAATAAATGCATTATTTTATATAGTAAATATATTGTGGGTAAAATATTGTGAATACATTATATGATAGATTGTTTCATATATACACATATATACAGTTTCTGGTTAGTAGAGGAAGGGTTTTCTAGAACATTCTGGAGGCGTCTGGAAGCTGGAGATATACGTCTTGGTCCTGTCCACAGCTTAGTGGCGCCACCCACCACCCTCACACTCAACAAGAGATTTCTTAAACTTCAACAGGACACCTTCTTTGGAAATAAAGACCACAGCTGGGATTTACAGGAAATAAAAGGGGGGAAATTTAAGGGAAGGAAAAATGGTTTCAATACCTCAAAATCACAGAAAGAGAAAAGGGGGCAAACTGCAGGAAAACAGACCAAGAAGGACCCGATTATTCCCTGGAGTGCAGGACTGGAAGTCAGGAGCCCGAGAGACTGCTCTCAGAATTGTCCCCGCTGGGTCAGGGGACATCTGTTCTCCTAACAGATGGCTTTTCCATAGGATCCAAGTTCAATTCCCGACACCCACATGGTGGCTCACAGCCATCTGTAACTTCAGTTGCAGGGGATCTAATGCAGGGCGTGAAGCGTATGTCCCGTTTGTGGCAGAACACGCAACATCACTTCTTCTCTGTGCCTGGACCATCAGCACCCCCTTTCCGTAATGTGTACCACATGTTCCTGGTGACCCTGACAGTAGTGTATTCTGCAGTCCTGAGCTGTCTTGCAGTGACCTAGGCACCAAGGTCTGGGGTCTGTGGGAGCTCAGCTCGGGGAACAGACCTTGGGGGTAGCATGGACAGTGATCACTTTGTGGAAACTTCAAGTTCCAATACCAGCTGCACTGCAGACTCCAATTCCATCTTAGAAAACGAAATTAAGGATCGTGGCCCATGTGGCTATCACACTAGAGACTCTGGGCTGGACCCTAGCACCACATAAAGCTGGGTGTGGTAGCACACACCCATAACCCAAACACTTCTACAGGGAAGGCAGAGAGATCAGACGTTCAAGGTCATCCATGGCGACACACTGGACCCCAAGCCAACGTGGAATACGGGAGAGCCTGTCTTGAGAGACAGAAAGCCCTTCTTAGGCAGGAAGCAAACCTTGTCTATCCTCAGGGCCTTAAAGGGATCCCGTCAGTCAGACCGACACCATAAAGGACAGGCATGCATTCTCCAAGGACTGTTTTGTCCTGGCCCTGTCTCAGTCAGAGGGGTGGCTGTGGTGACCTCTCGGGAACCTTCCAGTCATGTGATTCTATTTTTGAACATAAATCAAACCCTGGAAAATTCTGGCTTCAGCCACCCAGACACCCCAGAGCTGGCTGTGTGTCATCTGCAAATATATTTTTGAAGGGGCCTTTATGTCCCCGACACATGGGCAATTTTGAGGTAGTGGTGTTTACAGAAGGTTTCTTAGCTACGTAAACAAACACGCTCGGCAGCTGTGGCAAAGATGCGTTAAAATAGTAGCGCATTCATCCAGACTGATATTTATAGAGGGCACATGGGACTCGCAGCTAGATGACAGCCACCCAGCACTGGGCCCAGGGCCAACCAATGCCGCACTGGAGCCTTTCTGATTGAACTTCCATATTTACCCCCAGCGATTATGCAGGCAGCCTGCCCCCGCCCCGAATGTGCCCCCCCACCCCCCAGTGTGGGCCTCGGGGCCCCCCCACCCCCGAGTGTGGGCCTCGTGCCCCTCCAGCCCCGACTGTGCGCCTCAGTGTTCCCCCACCCCCGAGTGTGTGCCTCGGTGGTACAAGCATCCACTAAGCCTCTCTGGGTTTCTGCTTTATACTTTTTATTCTGAAAACCATACAACTAATAGAGAAAAGAGACCAAACAATATCATGACTCCCCGGGTACGCGTCATTTGGTTCTGATAATTGTCAATTCAGAACTGAACATGTTCTGTCTGCATTGTCAGATTCGCCAGTGTTGCAGGATTTTAACTATAAATGTTCTTAGTCCTTCCCTACAAAAGATAAGGACTTTATTTTTCCAAAAAAAAAAAAGTATTGTGTTTTGGTTGACTGACTGATGATTGATGAGTTGGGCTAGGCAGTGTGTATGCCACAACATAAGTGTAGAATCAGAGGACAATTTTTGTGCGTTCGTTCTTTCTCTCCACCGTGTAGGTCCCAGAGTACAGGATCCAGGTTATCAGCTTCAGTAGCAGACACCTTTCCCCCTAAGCGATCTCTCTGCCACAGGATTCTTTTTTTAATAAACCCATGAGCACGAGGGGCACAGC